CAGCAAATGAAAGTAATTTAGGGATGGATGGCAACATATAATTTAGCAAAGCATGGAATGCAATTCAGGAATCACTTGTAATATAATGTAATTCACAGAAAAATATACTTAGATCACTTAGTCTTTAGAGTTTATACACATAGTATAGGATTATACTGGTTTTTCCTTTTGATTCTGTTGATTATCCTTAACATTGTCTCTATTACTTTTCAAGTCAACTTAAGTGCTTCAACATTTTATATTGCTTAATCTCCACTACCAGATTTTTTAGATTTCATTTGTTGATTTTTCTCTCATATCCCTATCTTTTACATTTTAAAATTTTATAGAAAAATATTTAGGTCCCAGAATATTAGTCAGAATTAAGTTAACTTACCATTTGTATTTCTTCTGTGAATTGCCTGTTAATATTCATTGCTTATTTTCATTGGGTTATTTTTTTTATCAATTTCTAGAAACTTAAAAAATGTATTCTGGATGTTTATACATATTACAGATAAATGTGCATAGTGCAAATAATATCCTAACTTTTGACTTTTTAAACTTTATAATATACTTTGGTAATTGTTCAGTATAAATTCATAAGAAGCTATGAATGACTTCACAATATTTGCATGTAATCTGATTTTACTCAAATATTGAGTATATTTATGGGATAAATATCTGGAACTAAAATCACTCAGTTATTTGAAAAAGTTTATATTTTTTATTCAAGTATAATATACATAAATAAAAGTTCACATAATTGTATGCTTCAGTGAATTATCACAAAGTGAACTACTTCACATAACTACCATTACATCAATAAATAGTATATTACCAGCTGCTGTCTTATGTTCCACCCTATTATTACTCCCCCCTCCTACACCAAAATCTGACTACCTGTACCAAAAATCAGTTTTGCTTGTTCTTAATAGATGTTTGGCTTCATATATAATGTTGCATATAACTATTCACTGATTCTCACTGATGTAGAATTCAATTAATATGCTACAATTTATTGTCTACTCTGATGGAAATTTGATAGTTTTGGACCATTACAAATACAATACTGCCATTGCATATAATGTTCCTTTTGGCATACACGTGCTTGCATTCATTGGGTATGTATCTAGAAATGTATCTTTCTAGATATCTATGTATCTAGAAATGAAACTTTTCGGTTGCAGGGTTTGCATACATACACACATATGCTGAAATGGAGCTAACAAATTTATAAAGTAGATTCACCAATTTGCCCTCTTAGCAGCAGAGTATGGGAGTTCCTGCTACCCAGTATATTTGCAAACATTACCAACATTACTAATGGGGCTGGGTACCTTTCATAAGTATATGAAAATATGTCATTTAGATATCTTTTGTGACATGTTCAAATTTCTTCCATACTTTCTTTGCTTGATTTGTTGGTATTATTGATGATTCATGAGATTCTTTATACTCTAGCTATGAGCCCATTGTCAGATACAATTAGTCCAAATATCTCTTTTCTGTCCTCACATTTCACTCTCTTAATGGTTCCTTTTCCCCCCAAGAAGGTCTTAATGTTTTCCTTTATAGTTAATAGTTTTTGAGTCCTTTGAAGTAATATTTCCTTAATGTGGTTGTTATGAAGATATTTCCTATAATGTCTTCTAAAATCTGTGTGTAGTGGGATAGAAGAGTCAAATTTCATTTTTGCTATATAATAATTCTATTGATTTTGTAGTATTTATTTGTATTATCTGTAGTAAAACCTGTCATTTCCCTCACTGTTCTGCTATATATGCCTGGATCTATTTCTTGGCTCTTTATTGTATTCATTGGTCTTTTTATCTATCTTGTGTCAGTAAATCACTGTCATGATTAATATAGCTTTATTTAATAGGACTTGTTTTCCAGTAGAGCAAGTCTTCTGTTTTTTCTTCAATACTGTCTTAGGTAATTGTGGTACTTTGCATTTCACTATAAATTTTAAAACCAGCTTTAAACAGCAAGAGAAGAAAATCTGTTGAAATTTATATTAGTATTGTGGCAAATCTATAGATCAATTTGTGAAAAACTGACATCCTTATTATTGAATTTTCCATTCCATGATTTGGGTTCCTTAATTTATCTTAAATTTTATAGCTTTCTGTGTAGAGATCTTGAACACCTTTTATTAGATATATTCCTAGATATTTTATTTTAATTTTATTGTAAGTGGAATCTTTAATTTTACACAATTTTAGTTAACTATTTTTAAAGTATATAGAAATATATTTGTACATTGACTTCATATCAACAATCTTGTTAAAAACACAATTTCTAATTTTATTAATTTATCTGCTAAGCATTTAAATGTTCTACATACAAAATCATCATTTTTTTTTCTTTATAACTTTATTTTCCTTTGTTTATTGCCCTGGCTAGGTCCTCTAGTACAGTATGAACAGAAGTGATGACAGGAGCCATCTTTGTCTTGTTTTCATCTCAGAGGTAAAGCTTTCAATGTTTTACTGTAAAGTATAAATGATATCTGCTGCCATGTATGATATTAAGGAAATTTTCTTCTTGTTTTAGTTTTTTCTTTTAAAATCATGAATAGATTTTGAATTTTATCAAATTTTCTGCTTTTGCATCTCTGGGCTTACTCATATGGTTTTCTACTTTATTCTGTTAATGTGATGAATTATACTGATTCATTTCAAATTTTAAACAAACCTTGCATTCCTGTTGTAAATTTGGTTATGATACGTAATTTTTTAAATTGCTATATTGTTTATACTTTGGATGGGATTTTTGCACTTATGTTCATGCATGATATGGACTTAACAATTTTCACTTTTTATAATGGCTTTTTGAAGTTTTTGTATCAAGTTATGTTGGCCCATAATGAGATGAATATGATCTTTTATTTCATAATTCTCAGAAAGGTTTTGTGTAACACTGGTATTATATAGTTCTTAAAAGGCTTGGTGGAATTTATACAGATAGTCACTTGAGCTGGGGTTTTCTGGGAGTTGAAGCTATCTGTGAGGCAGATGTTCAAGCTGTATTTCCCATACAAGATTCTTCAGAGGCTCTATGGTAACCATCACCCTCACAGTTACTTTACAGGGGAAATATGCTGAATTATTATAACAACCTTCAGCTTCTGAATTGGTGCTATATCTTCATATCCTCTTAAATTTAACATCCTTACCTTTATAGGTCAGTCTCTTGAGTAGGAAACCCTGAAAATGGTTTGAGTTCACCTTCTTGAATGGTAACTACTTGGACTAGAGAACAAGCATAGACTCTTGCCATATAAAATACTGAGATTATTGGCTGTCCCACGTTCCCCTCCTCTCCTCCCTTCACCTATAGGCTGTTCCTGCCTGTTTTTCTATAAGGAATTATTCAGTCAAGGAGCTAATTCCCATAATCTATATTTTCATACATCCTCTACCCCTATAAAGCTCTAGGAATACAAGATAAGATTTCTTTTTTCAGATAGTTCTCCCTTTAAAATGGCTTCAAGTAGTTCTCTTGGAGCTTAACCAGACTTAGCTTAGAGGCAGACTGGGATATATAGAAATAAAGCCAAATATATTTTTTAAATGTATTATTTGATAAAAGATTATTCCAAATTTAGAGGGAAAAGATGAAATATTCAGGAAATAGTATTGGCATAACTCTTAATCATCATGAAAGAAATATAGTTTTCTCATTATTTCATACCTTGTATCTAAACAAATTTCAGATAGATTGGAGATTTAAAAATATTACAGAAACTGAATTTACTAGAATACTTTTTTATTATCTTGAAGTGAGGAAGGCTTTTATAAGTATGACATAAAATCCACAGCCATAAAAGAAAAACATAGACAAATTTTTAAAAATATATGCACAGAAAAAACCATCCCAAACAACATCATAAAGCAAACAAAAGCAGGGAAACTATCTGAAAATTACAACAGTTTTCACAAATCTATAAGAGGATGATTGACTGACAACTCTGCAGAAAAATGTGCAAAGAATCAACAAAAATGTCACAGAAAAGAGATTCAATTTCACTTAAGAAATGAGAAAATGCCACTGATATTCTAATAACATGCTTCCTCTTAGAATGACAGGGATTAAAAGTCTGGTTATATACCAGTGTTAAAAAGGTTGTGAGCAATCAGGCATTCTCCAATATTGCTGGTGGGAGCATAATTTGGCATAATTTTTATGGAGGACTACAATTTAGGAATAAGGATTAATTAGAATTAAATAAGCTTTTAAAGGAGTACAGTCCAACTTTCAAAAATAGGAAGTCTGATTGGATCATATTCTGAGTCTTCTACTGCCTCTTAGTCTGTCACAGGAAATGTAATACTTTTTTGAGGATATTAACATCATTTAGAACCTCAAATTATCTCTACAATGCTCATAAATATGATGGTACATAATGTTCAATTTAAAGAATACTGAAATGAAAAATAAAAGCAGACCTAGGTTACGTGAAGATGATATACTGTAACCAAACACCATGACAAATCATAAACTGGATACCATATATGGAGTTATCACCTGAATACTTAAAGTAACTATATTAAAGATGTTTATGGAAGTACAAGATTGATAATTTAGGAAAATAACAGGATGCTTTAAGAAGAACCAAATGGAAGGTCTAGAAATGAAAAATAAACTGAAATTGAACTCCATGGGTGGATCTACCATCAGATTAGACACAGTTGAGAAAGAATTTGTGAACTCTAAAAGACAAGTTTGAAGAAAGTGTCAAAAATGAAGCACGGGAGGAAGACGATAGATAATGTATAAATAAAATCTCCTAACAACAATTAAAACTGGAAATACTATGCTAAGTTTGACATCAAGAAAGAACAAATAACCAGTATATATTTAAACTTTATTTTTCTTATATCATTTTAAATCTAACAAAAATCTACGTAAAGGTTTCTTTCCATTTTTAGGACTTAAGTATTTTGAAAGAAACACCTAAATATATCAAACATTCGAAAAAAAGTATAAATTAGAAAGAACATTTAGGTACTTACATTCCATATGCTGAGCTCACAGCAAGACTGGTAATCTGTTGGGGAGGTTCACCATCCACCCACACCAACTGAATAACAAGTTCTGCTTGATACCCTGGAGGCATTCGTATTGGTCGTGTCTTAACACTAGAAAAAAAAAAGGAAAAGTTCTCCTATTATATACAGTTTAAACAAGTAGGTTCAGGCTTTTCTTCAGAATTTACATAGACTCTTCTTCCAGGAATATGTAACACTAGGCAGTTAAAGGTAGCTGGCAGGTAGACAGAATCTTCTAGCTTTCTCAGTACACACCAAGAAATTTGAGATTGCTTAGTTTTTCTTTAAGTAGCATTTAAGTTAGCCAGGCCCAAAACTTCAGCTGGTCTTCCTCACATCCTTAATTTTCTTTTGAGGATCATTTTTAAAATTATTTTTATTATTATCTTACATAATATTTGTTATATATATATGTTAAAATGCATAACAATAAAAAGAATGACCATTAATCTACCACCCAGTTTAATAGTTAAATATATCCCAAACCTGAATTCCTGCTCATTTCCTCTAAATTTGTTTCACTTGCAGCCTTCTCTATTATCCTTCCAATTATTCAGTTAAAAAACTTTAAAGTTATTCTTGACTAATATCCTTCTCCTACTTCACATTCGGTCAATTATCAAATGCTGCTGGTACTGCCTTCAACATATCTAGAATCTGACCATTTTTCACTTCTGTATTGCTACCATCCTAGTTACAGTTGACACAGGTTATTCTTTTAAATCTGAATTTCAAATAAACAATAAATAGGAGGGCTTTTTTGCTATAACTATGTACCATGCAATATTTGGGATATATTGATACTAAAAACTGTTCATTATCTGAAATTCAAATTTAAATGGGTATCCTGTATTTTTATTTGCTGAATCTGCCAGCCCTTAACATTATCTCTATTTAGGTGCAATAGCCTCCTTAGTGATCTCCTTGCTTCGACCCTTCTCTTCCATCCCCAAATCCTATTTTCAACATAGTCACCAAAGTAATCAATTTAAAATTTAAGTCTGAGTATATCACTTCTCTGTTCAAAACCTAATGACTCCACATGTAATTAGGAATAAAATCTAGGTTTCTTACAATAGCCTGTAATTGGTCCTTATTGCCTATCTGACTTCATCTACTACTATCCTCCCCAATGCCACCCACCTTGCTACCTTTGCTGCAGCTCACTAACTTCCTTATGTGCCAGGTACTTTAAGACCTTTGCTCTAGCAATTCATTTTGCCTGGAATATTCTTTCACCAGGTGTTTTTCAGCTAACTCTCTCATGTACTTTTTGTTCAAATCTCATCCTCTTAATGGGACCTATGATGAGCACCCACTTTACACCCTAGGAAGCACAAAAGGAAAAAAAAATTTGAATGATTGTCAGATTACCAAAAATGAAGAGTTGGTTGGTTGAAATACTTATCAGCTAGTATATATGGGAACCTAAATCCAGCAAATGAAAGTAATTTAGGGATGGATGGCAACATATAATTTAGCAAAGCATGGAATGCAATTCAGGAATCACTTGTAATATAATGTAATTCACAGAAAAATATACTTAGATCACTTAGTCTTTAGAGTTTATACACATAGTATAGGATTATACTGGTTTTTCCTTTTGATTCTGTTGATTATCCTTAACATTGTCTCTATTACTTTTCAAGTCAACTTAAGTGCTTCAACATTTTATATTGCTTAATCTCCACTACCAGATTTTTTAGATTTCATTTGTTGATTTTTCTCTCATATCCCTATCTTTTACATTTTAAAATTTTATAGAAAAATATTTAGGTCCCAGAATATTAAGGTCTGAAAATATTTTATAGAAAAACATATGGAGGACCCAGACTTTAATGATGGATCTTCTTAGTTAATAGACAAACCAATCTATAATGCTTTCTTGAGCTCTTTTGAACTTTTTGTTCTCTTTCTGGTTTTCATTTTAATAGAAGTCTATTAAATGAAGCAAAGGGATAATATGGGGAAGTTAAATATGTAAAATTATAACATTATGAAAGTTTTCCATTTGCTAAAATTTTGTGATGATGTTTACTCTTTGTAGATTTCCCTCCCAGTATTCCCTGCTTATATTTCCTCTTTTTCACAAGAAAATTTTCTGGGAGAAAATTAATGATTATAAAAGTACAGCAACTGCTGATTGTATGGTAAACTGATTTTGCTCCTGAAATCTTATCTTTAAAATAAGTGTCTTCACTAGAAATGAAGAAACTTTTTGTCTAAAGTTCATTAAGTAGCAGATTCAGATATTTTCATATGAAGCTCAGAGGAATTCCTTGCATAGGCTTGATTCTCCAACCAGCTAATACTAGAAACATTTGATCTATGTAGAAACAGTAAGTAGTAATTTAAGGAAGCTTCATTCTTGTATACCCTATTATAAAAAACTAATTAAAAAGATAAATTTTACTATGAGCTTAAATTTAAATTTTGATTGTGATACTAAACTTTGTTTAGATATACCAAGAAAACATAGCTTATTACCAAACAGCATCAGTTGAAAAGAAAGAAATATTATGCATTATCCTGACAATGATGAGAGAAACCCTTTCTTTGTAAAACAGTCTCCTTGTAGTAGAAAGTAAATTTGTTTTTTTTTTTTATTCTAAGAAGGTTTAAGATAGTCCCCAAACATACTTTTTTCAGTTGGGAAATACCAAGGAAGTAGTTAAGTTGCTGCCCTGCCAAACTTTTTCCCATTCTACCATAGCCACGTTTTCTTTAGGGTCCTTCTGGGAAAGAAATATATTAATTAGTAATGAAGGATGACAATGATGTGCCCTTTCATCAAAGAAAAGACATGCCCTTTCATGAATATTCAAAGGGTATTCCTCACTGTAGATCATTTCACAACTTAATAATGGAGAAGAATGATTTTATTTGGTGCAATATCAAAATTATGTAATTAATATGTAAAAATATTTTAAAATGTAGTAGCAACACCTACTTAAGACATGGAATACTGTCCTTTGTTATTCCTTCACTAGCCACAGTGTTAGTGCTCCCAGAAAGACTCCTTGAAGAAGGAAGCTGAGATGAGACATCTGGAAATGGAGGACTTGTTTCTGGTTCTGGAGTAATAATGTCTTCAACATCATACTGAAGTCGTACCTCTAATGACTTAAAAAAAAAGTCAAGTTTTAGTTGAAGTAATAATAATAATCACATTTAAAATACCTAGTAATTTTGGAGTAATTACACATTATTTTCTCAGATTAGTAAATTCAATTTCAATTTTAAGTAAAGTTGAGATACCCCAAACTTAAATAGTGAATAATATGGAATATTCACTGGTACACAAAAAGCATAAAATATTTTTTAATTCCTCAGAATTGTAATAAAAATCCTATCAGTGGAGATAAAGTTTGTATTTAATATTCCATAAGATAAAGGTATAAATTATAATTTCATACGCAATAAAAGGAGAAACTGGTCATGGTTATTCCAATGAAAGAAATTAAACTGAATGTGGATAGTTTGTGTGTTACACAGCACACAGCATACAAATCTTTATTTGTATAGGCTTTTTAGTTTAAAAAACCTTGATTCAATTATGAATTTGAAAATGTAACAATTTTCCAAAATAAATTTCATATTTTTATTTCATTAGCTTTGCTCTTATTTAATTTCATTAGCTTGGTTAGAATTGCTTAGTGAAAAAGTATATAATTTATGTTGGAATAAAAAGGTGATCCAAAAGCCCTGTTTAAAATTAAGTACTTTACAACTGCATTCAATGCTTAATTAAAATTGATTTTAAAACAAACATTTGCTTTAAAATGTACAAGTATTTTTGATGTTGCAAACTTACAAAAAATGTAATGGTTGATGAATATATAAATATTACAAAGTGACTCTCATAACTATCTTAAAACTACAAAAACCTCATGACAATAATGTTTACCAGTTATGGAGTGCTTACTCACCTAGACACTATATTAATGATGTTATAGAATCATCATAAGAACTCTATGAAATTGGTATTATTATTGTAGTTTGATTTTCTATTTTTCATTTTATTTACACAGGAAATTCTATGAGTGATGACATTGAGTCTTATGCAGTCTCTAATACTGACTAATGGAGCCTTGCAATTTCCTCAGTCACATAGGAATTCACTGGTAAAGCCAGAATAAAAACCTAGGCTTATCTGATTACAAAGCCTGGGATTTTAACTAAGATACTTTAAAAGGGCAATACTTAATTTTAGCTGTTGCAGTAAAATGAGTTATATATAAGTCTTTAGGAGATAGTCTTTATTTTCTGATAAAGTGGTTAAATGGACTGTGTAGAGAAGGCAGATTACAGGTGCCTTAATTTATATTTAATTTATCCTATGAGAGCATCTGTATTTCATTAGTTTAAAAATTAAGATTAGGTAAAGCAGATCCATAATTATTTCCATCATATAAAAAATGTTGCTATATAGAAAATCATAACAAATAATCTTACTATAGTTGATGAAGCATTTATGGTAATTGACAAGAAAAGACAAACTTAAATATTTAATGAAGATATACAATAAAACCTTCATTAATTTGACATTGATAAAACAGTCAATAACTGTATAAAATCTATAGACATAATCCATCCTATTTAATAATATTAAATTTTTATAGAGAACTGATTTTGTCATTTAAGCCAAACTAATTTTTAGTATGTTATACTAAGTAACAAGAAAAATGAAAAATTCTATGAACTGGACTGCTGGCCATATACTGCACCCTTGATGTCTTAAAACCATACTAAGCACTAGTATAAGTCTATTATAATTTATTTATTTTAATAACTCTACATGTGAAAGTTAAATTTTAAGTGACTTACCACTATTTCTGTTGTAATTTCATGCCTGCTGAATTTATAAATTATGACATATGCAGAGACTCCTGATACACAGAATATTCTGCTCTCTGGACACCAGTAAATCATCTGAATGGCATATGGATCTTCCTCTACAATTTCACATGTTTGTTTTCCTTCTCCTACTTTCTGTTTTTCAAACACTTTTGAAGTTTTAAGCTTGTACAGCATCTGCAGAGTTACTATAGGATATTGAAGCATAGTTATCTTCTAATTTGAACTTAATTCTTAGATGTTGTTGAAGCTTTTTCAATATATTTATTAAACCACAAAAGAAAAACCTAAGTAGACAAATTACATTTTAACTAATAAGCATTTAATGTCTTGCTATCATACCAGCAGTTTAGCTGGATGGAGTCTACATGGAAAAACATAAACATTTACTGAACATATACCATACCAAAGAATATGTAGGCCCTTTGTATGCATTGCTTAAGTGAGTCTCAGAAAAATCCCATATTTTTATCCTCATTTACTGATGAAAACCCTAGGCTCAAAAACTTTACAATGGAAATACTGAAACTAATTCTCTCCTAAGGGAGACCCCTCAAAAACACAAGCTTCCTCTTTGATTGCTAGATGAGATGTTGATGCTATTCTTACAAAGTTTTCTTCTCTCAGCAAATTTCTAGACACTTCCTCAGGTGAGAAACATTTGTAATTTATCGGCTAGTAATATTGAGAGTCCAATTATGTATAATTATTTTAGAATCTTTTCTGAGCAGCTCTATGTTAGGAAAAGGGCAGTTATAATTGTTTTTAAATTTCAAGTTTGTGAATTGTTTTCAGGAATATTTACTTGAGGGAATACTTTATCCATCTAGACCCTGATAATAACTCCCCTATTAAAAAGCTCTGATTCTACAAATGTAGAATGTAGAAAATGTAAAAATGTAGGAAAGATTCTACAAACTTTACTTGGGGAAAGTTCTAAAAATCTGGGAGTTCCTGCCAAAACACAGAATCTGAACCTAATCAAGAGAAATATCAGTTAAATACAAATTGAAGGACATTCTACAAAATAACTTGCCTGAGTTCCTCAAAGATGCCAATTTCATGAAATAAAGACTCAGGAATGATTCCATGTTAAAGAAAACTCAAATGATATAATTAAATGAGATAAATGATTAATGGGAAATTTGGCAAACCTGAGTAAGATCTGGAGGTTAGGTAATAGTATTGTATCACTATCAATCTTCTGATATTGATAACTATAATTTGATTATGTAAAAGAATGCCTTGTTTGTAGGAAATACACACGAGTATTTTACGGGCATGTAACGTTAGAGGAGCATTATGACTGCAATTTACTTTCAAATGGTTACAAAAAGTTATATGCATGTACATGTTTATGTATAGATATATGTGTGTGTGTAAATACATAGAAGGGAGAGAGAAAGAATAAGGAGAGGGAGGAGTAAAAAAGATTCTTTTAGAAAGAATCTTTTCTGTGTGGCTCTATGTGAGGAAAGGGTCAGTTATAATTATAAAAAACTTTCCTTAAAAAAAGGACGGAGGGAGGGATGGAACGAATGTAGTATATGTTGATGTTTGGAAAATCTAGCTAAAGGCTTTGCAATACTTCATAGCACTTTTTTTTTTTTGCAATTTTTCTGTAAACCTGAAATTATGTTGAACTAATATAATTCTTTAAATGGGCAAGGCATTGTATTAGACATTATAGGCTTGTCAGGTCTGATGAGGTATTATTTCCATGATTATTTTATGTGACTAAACAATGGTAAAATGATACTTGTGGCCACAGTTAAGGCCCCTACTTAGCTGATTTTGAGTTAATCAACATAGATTATCCTTAATGGGCCTGACATCATCAGATGAGCAGGCTAAAAGAGGGACTGAGGCCCTCCCTGAAGTTAGAGAAACATTTCCTTGCTGGCCTTGAAGAGAAAAGTCACTATGAGTTCAGAAGCTGTGAGAAAATGAATTTTGCCAAAAACCACATGAGCCTGGAAGAGAACTCAGACTCAGATGAAACTGCAGGCCTAGCCAACACATTGGCTGCAGTCTCAGAAGAACCTAAGCAAAGAAAACATCTCAGCTGTATCCAGATTCCTGGGACACAGAAATTCTGAGGTAATATATGGTATTTTTTAAAGCTATTAAATTGTTTATTAGTGATTAAAAACTAATACACATAATACATAAACTCAATCATTCAAATTCAGTATAACCTCACTTCCTGTACTGGACAGCATTCCATAAAATTGGCAAACCGATATTTCTTCAATGACATCTGTTAAATTGGAGCTGTGACCTTACAATCAATAATAGTAAAAATATTAAACATGCTGCAAACCTGTGCATATATTCTGAATGTGATAAAATATATTAATTTAAAAATTTCTTAGAATATTATCATACATGCTTATGGGTGTCATGTGCTTTAATCATTAGAGTGTTAAGTGTCCTCTCATGTTTTGGAAGCTAAGGAGTGACTTTGAGGTGGTAAGAAATAAGCAATGACATCACTATACAATTAACTGTGCTCCTGGAAAAACTCAAGATTTACATGAAAAGATTAACCAGAAGAAAATCTGTTGTCCTTTGAATTTCCCAAAGCAATTACTCCTTATTGTGAGGTAAGAAAGCAGGCTCAGAATTCATGGCTTGAAATCTTTAATCATTTTCCCTTGCTGATGGTTTGCTCCATTGCTGAAGGACTCTAGCTTGCAGGGTAAGAGTATCAATATTCAACCTTCTTTCCTCTGCTTTTCTGTTTATCAGTCCTCCTCAGAAGCCCTTTACTTCTACAGTTTCAAATATCACCTTTATATTTCTTCTTCTTAGTTTCCATTCTTGACTGTTCTCCCTACCTGCTAGACATTTTTACTTGGAATTTCCTGGTGTTACTATAGAATCCAAATCTCTACAACTCTCTTATACTCCTTATTTGCAAAAGTTACCTACATCTTGTTGGTTACTTATCCTCTGAAACCAGAGTCATTGCTGTTATTCTTCTTCTCATATTGCTGAGTAAAAAAATCTTAACTATTTTCCAAAAAACCCCATTAAATGTTATCCCATCAAAATATCCTTCCTGGATCTATCTGATTCAACTATATCCCCCATAGCTCTGATGACAAATGGAATTTGGGTTGTACTACATTTAAAGTTCTTACATTGTTTACCTTATAGTTTCCTTTAGCTATTATAGTGACTATAAGTTCTTTGAAGGTATGTATAGACATAATCGTCTTAAATTTATTTTTGCATGCCCTTCAATATTGAGCAGAGTACCTTATTTATTCCTTAAATTATATAGTTCTCAAGAATTTAAAAATAAAATCTGTATTTATCAAATAATTTCTTTTGACTCACACAGGGCTTGGTAGACAAGTAGGGAAAAAAGTGAATAGTGAGATAAAAGCACTTTTCTGAGACCACAGAGCTAGGAGGTGAAGGAAATTCCTTGAGTAGAGCTAATCTGACAAAGTTTGGTACTTATTCAATGTACTGTACCTTTTGCAAATATAATGGGATACTGACAAAGAATTATTTCAGGCCCGTTTATATTACAGAAGAAAAGTAGAGAGAGTAGTACTTTAAACTGATCTAATATAGGAAATGGACTTTTGTAACACATCCACATATGTAAGTTAAAAATATATCTGAAATGTTAACTGTCCAAAAAAAAGTGGTGAATGGCTCTGTGTATTAGCTAAGTGTTTTCTGTTATTGAAGGAGAAATTTTAAACTTACTTGCAGAAGCATCCCAAAACTTTATTGATCCATCAGCATGACTAGATGAGAAATAAATTAGCATTATAAAAGTACAATAATAATAATTATGCTAAATGTATAAAAACTTGAGTTATTAAAATGTGATCAACCATTCCATTGAAAACTAATGTATGTTAAGCCATTTCTAAGCTCAAACCCATAGTTTATTTTTAAACAATACACTAAAATCTAAATTTAAAAAGGAACAAAAGCAACATCCAAAGACAAGAAACAATAAATGCTGGTGAGGATGTGGAGAAAGGGGAAACCTCCTACACTGTATGTAAATTAGTTCAACCATTGTGGAAAGCAATATAGAGGTTCCTCCAAAAGCTAAAAGTAGAAATGCCATTTGACCCAGTAATTCCACTCCTAGGAATTTGCCCAAAGAAAACAAGATCCCAGATTCAAAAAGACATATGCGCCCCTATGTTTATCGCAGGACTATTTACAATAGCCAAGATATGGAAGCAACCTAAATGTCCATCAATAGATGAATGGATAAAGAAGAGGTGGTACAGATACACAGTGGAATATTATTAAGAAGAAAACAAACCCTACTATTTGCAACAACATGAATGGAGGTAGAGGGTATTATGCTCAATGAAATAAGCCAGGTAGAGAAAGACAGTACTAAATAATTTCACTCATTGTGTAATATAACAACAAAGAAAAACTGAAGGAACAAAACAGCAGCAGGCTCACAGAATACAAGAAGGGACTAGCAGTTACCAAAGGGAAGAGGTTTGGGAGGGTGGGTGGGGATGGAGGGAGAAGGGGATTAAGGGGCATTATGATTAGCACACATAATATAGGGGGGACACAGGGAAGGAAGTATAGCACAGAGAAGGTAAGTAGCGACTCTATATAGCATCTTACTATGCTGATGGATAGTGACTGTAATGGGGTATGTGGTGGGGACTTGATAATAGGGGGAATGTAGTAACCACAATGTTGCTCATATGAAACCTGAGCATAAGATTGTATATCAATGATACCTTAATAAAAAAATTTAAAAAAATTAAAAGGAACAAAAATTACTTAGAATTTACTGTAGGAAGTCTTTATGTAAATAGAGAGTAATGAAGACTGCTCTGTGGAAAATTGATATATTTTTATACAAAAGTCTTTACACTCAACAAAAAAGATACATGACTTGATTTTGATTACATTAAAGTAATTTGACATAATTATCATACTGAAATTAAAGTTAAGCTTTACAGTACAAGAAGTGAATCCTTAAACCTATCTAGAGTTATGTCATTATTTGGTAATACCATGTCAACTCCATAAGAACTCTATAGGAATATTTCCCAACACATTTTATGAGGTCAGTTTTATCCTGACACAAAAGCCAGGAAAAAAACTTTACAAGATAATTACAAACCATTATCCCTCAAACATAGGTGTAAAAATTGCCAACAAAATGTTAGCAAATCAAATCAAATAACATATTGAAAGGACAATACATCATGACTAAGTGGAGTTTATGCCAGGAATATAAGGCCAGTAAAACATTTAAAAAGTCAGTCACTATAATGTAATTCATCATATTGACAGAAGAAAAACTGTATGATCATCTCAATAACTGAAGAAAAAATCATTTGACAAAAACCCACCATCTACTCGTGAAAAAAAATCTTAAACTAGAAACAGAGGAAACTTCAACCTGATAAATGACATCTGGGAAGAACCTACAGATGTTGTCTACCATACATAATGGGGAAAGAGATTTCCCCCTGATACCACGAAGAGAGCAAAAAATGTTCACTTTCTCTCCATTCTTTTTTTTTAATTAAGTATCATTGACACACAATCTTATGAAGGTTTCACATGAACAACATTGTAGTTTCAACATTCACCACATTATCAAGTCCTCATCACCCCCCCCATTGCAGTCACTGTCGATGAGCAAAGTAAAATGCTATAGAGTCATTACTTGTCTTCTCTGTGCTGTACTGCCTTCTCCATGACTTACCTATATTGACTGCAAATTATAGTGCCCCTTAATCTCCTTCTTCTTCCATACCCATCCTCTCCATCCCCTCGCCTTTGGTAACCACTAGTAACTTCTCAGAGTCTGTGAGTCTGCTGCTGTTTTGCTCTTTCTGTTTTGCTTTGTTTTTAACTCCACAAATGAGTGAACTCATTTGGACTTGTCTTTCTCTGCCTGGCTATTTTACTGAGCATAATACCCTCTAGCTCCATTCATGTTGTTGCAAATGGTAAGATTCCTTTCTTTTCATGGCTGAATAATATTCCATTATGTATCTGTACCACCTCTTCTTTATCCATTGATCTATGGATGGACACTTTGATTGCTTCCATATCTTGGCTATTGTAAATAGTGCAGCAATAAACATAGGGGTGCAAGTGTCTTTTCAAATCAGGGATCTTGTTTTCTTTGGGTAAGTTCCTAGAAGTGGAATTACTGGGTCAAACGGTATTTCTATTTTTAGCTTTTTGAGGAACCTCCATATTGCTTTCCACAATGGTTGAACTAATTTACATTCCCACCAACAGAGTAGGAGGGTTCTCCTTTCTCTGCATCCTCGCCAGCATTTGTTGTTAACTTGTCTTTTGAATAGTGGCCATCCATTCTACCTGGCGTGAGGTGATATCTCATTGTGTTTTTCATTTGCATTTCCCTGATGATTAGTAATATGGAGCATATTTTCACGTGCCTGTTGGCCATATGAATTTCTTCTTTGGAGAAGTGTCTTGCTCAGATCCTTCACCCATTTTTTAATTGGGTTATTTGTTTTTAGGTGTTGAAGCATGTGAACTCTTTTATGTATTTTGGATGCTAACCCCTTACTGGGTAAGTTGTTTACAAATATATTCTACCATACTGTAGGATGACAATTTTTTCTGCTGATGGTGTCCTTTCCTGTATGGAAGCTTTTTAGTTAGCTGTAGTCCCACTTGTTCATTTTTTATTTTGTTTCCCTTGCCTGAGGAGATGTGCTATGGAAGAAGTTGCTCATATTTATATTCAAGAGATTTTTGCCTATGTTTTTTTCCGTGAGTTTTATGGTTTCATGACTTATATTCAGGCCTTTGATCCATTTCAAGTTTACTTTTGTGTATGGAATTAGACAATAATCCAGTTTCATTCTCTTACATGAAGCTGTCCAATTTTCCCAGTAACAGTGCTGAAGAGGCTATCTTTTCCCCATTGTATATCCATGGCTCCTTTATCATATATTAATTGGCCATATATGTGTGGGTTTATATCTGGGCTCTCTATTGTGTTCCATTGGACTATGGGTCTGTTTTTGTGACAGTACCAAATTGTTCTGATTACTGTGGCTTTGTAGTAGAGCTTGAAGTTAGGGAGTCTAATACCCCCAGCTTTGTTCTTCCTTTTCAGGGTTCCTTTGGCTTCTCAGGGTCTTTTGTGGTTCCATATGGATTTTAGTACTATTTGTTCAGTTCACTGAAGAATGCTGTTGGTATTTTGATAGGGATTGCATTGAATCTGTAGAGTGCTTTAGTCAGGGTGGTCATTTTGGCAATATTAATTCTTCCTATCCATGAGCATGGGATGTACTTCCATTTATTGGCGTCTTCTTTAATATCTCTCATGAGTGTCTTGTAGTTTTGAGAGTATAGGTTTTTTACCTCCTTGGTTAGGTTTATTCCTAGGTATTTTATTCTTTTTGATGCAACTGTACATGGAATTGTTTTTCTGATTTCTCTTTCTGATTTGTTTTTAGTATATAGGAATGCAACAGATTTCTGTGTTTTAGTTTTCTATCCTGCAACTTTGCTGAATTCAGTTATTAGTTCTAATAGATTTTTGGTGGTGCATTTAGGGTTTTCAATGTATAATATCATGTCATCTACAAACAGTGATAATTTAACTTCTTCCTTAGTAGTTTGGATGTCTGTTATTTCTTTGTGTTGTCTGCTTGCCATGGCTAGGACCTTCATTACTAAGTTGAATAAAAGTGGTGAGAGAGAGCATCCTTGTCTTTTTCCCAATCTTAGAGGAAAAGCTTTCAGCTTTTTGCTGTTAAGTATGATGTTGGCTGTGGGTTTGTCATGTATGGTCTTTATTATGTTGATGTATGTACCCTCTATACCCACTTTATTAAGAGTTTTTATCATGAATGGATGTTGAATTTTGTCAAATGCTTTTTTAGCATCTACTGAGATGATCATGTAATTTTTGTCCTTTTTGTTGATATGGTGTATGATGTTGACTGATTTTTGAATATTGTCACTCTCTCCATTCTTATTCAACATTAAATTGGAAGACAACTACTGTAACAGGGAAGAAAATGAAAAGGAATAAGGATTGAAAAGGAAGAAATAAATTTCTATTTGTGGATCACATTATTTGTTATATATGTAATCCCAAATAATCTACAAAAAGAAACCTAGAACCTATATATGAGTTTAACACAACTGTAAGATACAGTCAATATACAAAAATCAATTGTATTTCTCTGTAATAGCAATTAACATTTGGAAACTGAAATTATAAAACATTACCATTTATAATAGCAACAAAAACATCAAAGTCTTATATATCAACAATTTGTGCAAGATTATGCTGAAAACTACAAGATACTAAGTGAAATCAGAGAAGTAGATAATGGACAGATATAGTATATTCTTAAATTGTAAGACTTACTTGATGTCACTTCTCCTCAAATGATGTGTAGATTCAATGTCATCTCAATTGAAATATGCCAAAATGTTTTTTTGTAGAAACCAATATATTTATTCTAAAATTTATATGGAAAGGTAAAGGAACTAGAATACCCAAAGCAATTTTGAAAAATAAAAAAAAGTTTGAGGACCCAAATTATCTATCTTTAAATCTCATTCTAAAGAGACTGTGAAGTTACTGTATTGGTGAAGAAAAATAGACATATATATCAATAGAATATAGAGAGCCCCTAAATAGACATATATATAGTCACTTCATTTTTTCTTGAGGGTGGCAGTCACTGATTGAATGGTTTTATTTTGTTAACAGAGTTATGATACTCTTACCATAAAATTCACC